AAATGTACTCGCATGTGCCGGCAATTTAGACTTGTTTAAGAATGACGTATGCCTGTCCTAACGTATGTCTGTCTTTCAAAGAAGTCTAAAAATTCAGGCAGATTCCTATTTCATTCAAGAAGTTTTTTTTTTAATTTTGAAATAAGTAAAAAATATATATCTACATAATTTATTATTTACGCAAGAAAATGAAAGCGGTTTTTTAGAAATTTAAAGACTATTGCAACATTGTTTTTAATTTTCTTTGAGTGAACCCAGTACAAAGAAAATCTATTTTTATTTAAGGGTTCCTTAATAAATAATAGCTTTAAAAAATATCCTTTGTCATTATAAATATAACATTTTGTATTTTATTTGCTTGCTTACGTTTGTATATTTATTAAAACTTAATAAACATGTGTGGTAAGTATAACAATTTCGTAATAAACCCCTCATCGCTGTCACCAAAAATAATTCTCCATTTGAGCTCAAGTAAATATCGAAACTAAAAGCACACTTGTAGTAAAAGTTTAACTTTCTCTTTCCAACTGTCAGCAATTAGCCCCTAAATAGTTGTAATTGTTGAGCTAAACTTTATTTAATGTCATGCATAATTAGAAGAGAACACATGGCTCATGTGGTTGGCTCAAAACCAAAAAACAAAGCATAAGTAAGCGGGCACCTGAGGCGATACACTGTGAAAAAAATAATGGTGAGTTTTATATAAACAAATATTTATTTAGTAATAAAATATTTCGTTAAACTTATAAGGTTTTAATTACTCCTCAGTTTATTTTATTGAATATATACATATATATCTTTTAAGAAAATTTAAAAAATGTTTTATCAATCCAAAAGAAGAGTAGATTAACCTTTAACATTGTTTTTAAAACAGTTATTCCGTGACTTTCCTATTAATTTAATTATATTTGTCTTATTTCCAATTCTTTTCAGAGAAGAATTTTTGCAAATATTATTAACTATTATTACTATTTTATTTTACATCTAAAAATTAATGCTTAATATTATAAAAACTAAGGTTTAGAAGATTATGTGTAAAACCACTTTTTAGTCGACGTTTTGTTGCGATCCTTGACAATTTAAAAATGTGTTTTATAGAACTATAGTAGGATAAAGGTTAAAGTGAATTCTAGTTTTATGAAAACTATTCAAAACCAATTCATAATTAGGAAAAATTGAATGTTAACAAATGTATTTAACATCCAATCCAACTTCTTATAATAACCAAAGAAATTAACGAATTAACTTGCTGTGTACTTGGGCGAGGATGCGAAAACATTTGACATGACTGAGTTTTCAGTCAGGATCTCAGTCCCATTTGCATTTCCATCCACCACGTTATTTTCCCTTTCGGTTTCAGCTCCCCTGGCTAAAAACAATTAAAGTGTTCGTGTTCGTACGTGACAAATTGCTCGAGCGCAGGTTACGAATAAAGCAGTGTCAACAGCAACAAAAATATTATTTACGCCCACACAGGGAAAAAAACTTGGAATTAAAAAAAATTTAATAATTTTTTCCTAGAAAATGTTATAAGTACTTACTTTATAATAATTAATTTCATTTTATTTAAATTAATTTTGTATTAATTTTAAACTTATTTCTATACCGTTCTGTTTTAAAATTATATATTTACTTTAAAAAATAACACATTTCTCTTATATTTTTTTTGGAAATTCAAAATTTTAGCTTGTAGGCTATTAAACTTTAATATTTGAATAAAATAAACTTACTACTTTTCTTTCAGTGCAGGCAAGCAGTGCACAATTAAATTACTGCCCAAAGCTATGGTTTTGTTTTTCAGCCCCTCTCACTCTCTCATTGTCTACCCATCTCCCTTGCTCTTTCTACCCACTCCCTCTAAAAGTTTTGTTTGCGATAATTGAGCAAAGTGTGAGATTTAAATGCCACGGGCCAGGACAAATTGGGGGCGTTAAAAGTCGAGAGTGAGCAAGGCAATTTGTCAGCGGTTTTAACCAAAAACCCCCATAACTGTCAACAACAAAACATCAAAGAACGGGACGAAGGAACAAAGAACAGGCTAATTGGCCAACAAAGACGTTTAATATGTAGGAAATTGTATGTAATTTTGATGACATGACTGAACCATAGTGTCAAGATACATCAAAGGGTAGTCTGTATCTTTTTGTTTTCATTATTTTTAACATTGAATACAAACATTTTGTATTTTATAAGTATTTTATAATCCTTTAAAAGTCCAGACCAAATATTATACATATGTAAATCTATGAAAATCCGATAAATTGTTTCTTTGATTCGATTGTAATGTAAAGTTAGCTATAAAATTACAGTTAGTGAAGAAAATATTAGTATTTGCTTTTATTTGTAACTCAATAATATACATTTTTAACAATTTACTTATTTTTTGTTTTATATTATTTTAAAAATTAAAATTTTTTATATTAACAATAATGTTTAACCTTTAAAATGTCCAGAATTGAAACAAATATTCTATGGAAAGTCTATGAATTTATCCAGTTGTTTCTTTGATTTGAATGTAATGTAAAGATATAAAATTAAAGTAATTGAAGAAAATATTTAAACTTGTTTTTTTTGTATTTGTAACCCAAAAATATATATTCCTTTAAATTTTATTTTTGTTAAAAACAAAAATGTTATCGACCTTTTAAGATATCACATTTTGTCAATTATTTATTTAACAAACTCCTTTATCATTTTGAAATATATATAGGATCCTTCAATTAGATTTTTTAGAAGAGATTTCGATTTTTTCTTGGCTTCAAAGTACAATTACTTTATAGTTTTTAGATATTAACTACGTTGTAAAGACTTTCTAATCTATAGATTATTTATATACTATATATATAAAGCTATCCACTCGAAACTAAGAATCAACGTTCAGCGAAATCAGCTAAAGAGAGAATAATTTTATAAGCTCTTATATTGGAATTTATTTAATCTCTCAGTATATTGTAAATCAAAAAGGACTTTAAACTCTTTGGATCGTCCTTCTTCAAGATAAAAGGTAACCAAAACCCATGATCTTAACCCATAATATAGACTTTAATGCTTAAACATAAGGATATGATTTTTTCCAAAGCTTACCCGAATCTGTTTGTCGTCGATTGATTAAATCCCCGAGGAGATCGCGTATTAAAAAGGATTTGGAGCTCTGCATTTTGATGGATGAGCAGTTCTCACAGCTTGTTAAGGCTCTAATGGGATTTTCAAAACAGTTTTAGGCCAGGTTTTGAGGTATTTGCCCCATTTTGAACATGATGCACTTGGAACTCTGGTTTAACAATAACAAAAATCGTTTTTTTTCAAGAACTTCTATGTTTAATTTTTAATTTTTATAAAATGGTATATGGTTTTTTAAATTGTTCAACTACCGACGGCTTTGATAAAAGGTTGTGATTATCCTTGGGCCAGGATCTACATATGTTGTATATGTTCTACGCGTAATCAAATTTTCCAGGACGCAGCACGCACACACACACACAGACAGTCGGACAGATAGTAACTGTAACTGAACCGCTAAGCGCCGAGTCAAATGAACAACTGAAATGCGAAACGTCGAACGTTTATTAATCCTTTTAGCGAACATCGCCAGGATTCACCCCCTCACACACACACACACACACGCACACGCGCCAACACACACAGGCAAGTGAATTACGCGGATTTGTTGCTGTAAACGGGACAGTTTAGCGCCCACGTCGACGTCGACGTCGGCAGAGGAAAATCCCAAATGGGGAAAAAAGCGAAAAAAAAATATCGCTACAAAAAGGAAACTTTCGCAATGGCCGCTGCCATTTAACCGTTATTTAATCAGTTGCTTTAGCATCGCCCAGCATCAGCAGCATGCCATCCCGCTCGCTCACCCACTTCCGCTGTCCCGTTAGCCATTTTGTTTACCGTTAGTCGCAAGGAGAGCAGGATGCCATAGGCTAGCCGTCTCTTTCTCGGCACAGAGTTGCCGCCTCGCTATTGGCTATCATTTTGGTTTGTTTTTATTTATTATCGCAACTACCCCTAATGCCCTGGGGAAAAAAGCATCCCTTAAAGCTTTCTCGCCACTTTAGCCCAGTACGATGCCGCCTCTCAGTCGTGAGAGTTACGAGCTCTGAGTCGCACCAAAGTGGCAGGTAAAAAGTCCAAGGACCAACGCAAAAACATTTGTTAGCGAAAGGATAAGCCCAATTTCCGTCGGCAAGTTGGCAGCCCTGCTTAATGGGAAGTACTTTAAGATTTTTTCCTTAACTAATTACTTTTTATAAACGTCACAAATAAAATAATTGGGCTTTCGAAAATTGTAAAAAATATCGTATCGATGACTTTTTTTGGAAAAAATATGATAATGGTTTTTTAAATACCAAGTTAAAATATCGATATATTCGATATAGTTTATTTTTTTTATTTTAATGAAAAGTCGACTTAGTGCTGCAAAGCATGGGTAACCAGGTATCGTAATGCTATTTTAAAAATATGTTATATATATATATAGCATGGATTTAATGTGACCAATTAAAAATATCACGATATAAATATATCATTTTATAAAAAAATATCGAAATATCGATATTTTGATATATTATCAACAACACTATAAAATAATCCAAACTTTTGTGTATACAAATCACTAAAATGGAAAATTTCAATCAACTTTTTTCGGTCCCAGAATTCAAAAATTTTACAAATTATAAAAAACTTATAATGTATAAAATCATATGTAAGACACATTTATTATTATACAAAAATCTTTGCTTTATAATATAGGTAATCTTGCACTAACTACTATGTTAATAATAGGTGTTGCTTACAAATGGCAGATAATTATTTCACTTATTTATAAGTTGCCTTGTCTGCTTTGTAATGGAGGATAATATGTGGTATAGGATATAACATTTATAATGTTTTTGTATATTTTCATAACATTTTAAAGTCCGAATAAGTGATGTAAAGTTAAAAAACTCCGGGTTTCGGGACTGTATGAATAATTATTCTTATGAACAAATAGGATAAAATATTTGTTTTTTTTATACTTTCATAACATTTTAAAGTCCGAAAAACTTAGATAACTCTTGATTTCAGAATTGTAGGACTGGGCTTAGCTACAACTAAATCTTATCCTATACTATTGTCCCCTGTTTCATTCTGTAATTAAGAACTCTATGAATAATTCGTCCTATTACCAAGTAGGATTAAACGATTCTAGTGATTTTGTTTTTTTTATAACATTTTAAAGTCCGAATAATCTGGATTTCAGGACTATAGGACTGGGCATAACTAAAACTAATCATATCCTATCCTATTGTCTCCTGTTTCGCTTTGGTTTTCAGGACAGTAGTAATAATTCGTCTTATTACCAAGTAGGATTAAACATTTCTAATGTTTTTGTTTTTTATAACATTTTAAAGTCCGAAAACGTGATGTGAAGTTAGTTAACTCTGGATTTCAGGACTATAGGACTGGGCATAACTAATACTAATGATATACTATACAATTGCTCTCTGTTTCATTCTGGATTTCAGGACTGTAGGACTGGGCTTAACTACAACTAAATTGTATATAAGAGCTTATCAATTATTGGGAAATAAATTTTGTATAGGAAGTAATTGATTTCTGTTTCACTAGGAATGTAAAAGTCAGTTCTGGGATTCATCGATCAGGTCTAGGGCACTTATCGCTGCACCCAGTAGGTGAATGGAACCGGTGACGAGGACCTCAAGCTGTGCGCCGTTGTCCGTTTGGGGAAATCTTCGCCGGATGGCGGCGAAGCAATCGGTTAGCGTGTCGTACACTTGACCCTCATCCTTTTGCCCCTGCCTTTTGCTGAGGTCACTCCATTCGCCGGCAATGGTTCTCGCCCGCTTCAATTGCATCTCGGCACTGAAGCGAACCATCACTTGGCTGGGAGCATTCGGTGTGGAGGTGGCCAGATTGGGCACAAAGCAGACCATGTCGAAGGCACAGGTGCGATTCAGTAGCTCCAGCAGGGGGGCAAAGCCAGATTCTCCAGTGCGATTGAAGATCAGGATCTTTGGGTTGACGCTGAAAGAGAAAAAAGAAAAATCAATTAAATTAAGTTTTTACCTAAGCAATAAATAAATTTTTATAAAATCTACATAAACTCCAAAAAAAAATGCACATATTTCATCTTTTTTAGTCTAATTTCCAAGTAGCTTTTTCGCTGTAAAAGTGTATTGCTCTATAGATAATCATATTTTTCCACTTAAGCTTTTAAGCCCACTAACTTTGAGCTCAAGTCATATATAACTCCAACTGCCTTTAGTTAAGATTTTTACTCGCCACAACCTTAAATTTTTGTTGTCAATAACTCTACAATTGTATGATAGATCTTTATAATGCACATTTTTTCATAACGTACTGAAATTACAATTTGTGATCTAGAATGATTACAAACGGTTATGAAATCGGATATTACTTCGGAATTTATCTACACAGACAAAAACTCTTCGGTAAAATATATCAATATAAAATAAAATAGTTATTTAATTATTATATTAATTATACAAAAAAGGGTAGAATGGGCTCACCCATCTATTGTAGTTAAATGACTATTTTGATAGCTATCCAGCCTTTAAAACATAAACAGAAAACTCTTTTGACAGTAAATAATTATATAATGATACATTAACATAGATACGTCACTGTAGCATAGTAACTAATTTATAAGTAAAATAATTTTCATTTTCAAAAGTGAGTTCACCCTACATATTAAGAGATATGGCTTGCACATTATTGTTGCATACTTTCACATGCAAGTTTTTAGGTAAGGGTAACTATTTTTGATAGTTAAATAAATATTTACTATGGTATAAGTATAACAATATATGTATAGGAATTAATAAAAATGGATGTTCTATTTTAGATATTAAAGTAATATTTTTAATAGTTACAAAACTATATGCATTGGTCAATTAGATTTCTTCTATGGTTTATTCCAACCCAAAGGCGTTCCCAAAGGTGATCCCAGGATCACCTGATCCCTTGACTTGACTTACCTGTTCCGCACGCTCTTCTCGAACCAGTCCGTGCACACCGCCATGCTCTCCAGGGTGTGGGCTCCGTCCAGATGGAGCCGCATTCCATGCCAGTGGACCAGCTGGCAGCGACCTGGCCAATGGGTGCTGACCAGTGCGCGCAGCAGCTGTGGATCCATCCTCACCTCGTTGGGCGTGTGCTCCTGCTGCAGGGGACTCCTCGCCTGCGACAGCCAATCGCAGGCCAACTGAATGGCCAGGGAGCCATTCAGACGGATCATATGGCTGAAGCTCTTCCAAATCGGAGCATATGCCTCCGATCGGAAGTAGTCCTCGGTGGGCGGGACTTCGTAGAGCGTTGCTGACTGCTCCTGCGTCCGCTGGCGAATCACCTGCAGACAATCCGGCTGCCTGACATGGGTGAAGACATGTGATTTCGGCTTAATGATACCCGCCTTCTGCCACGCAATTTCCGGCAGTGTATGCCCCAACAGCTCTGTGTGCTCCAATCCCAGCGATGTGATGCCCACGGTGCGCACATTTCTCACGATATTCGTGCAATCATGCTCTCCACCGATTCCCACCTCCAAAACGACCACATCCACCTTCTCCGAAATGAAGACATGGAATCCCAGAATGGTCAGGAACTTAAAGTAGGCGGGCATGTCGTGATCGTGCTCTCGCAACTTCCACAGTCGATTGTACACCTTCCAGAACTGCTCCGTGAACTTATCCTTGGCCAGCAGCTGGCCATCGATGCGGATCCGTTCGTTGGTGGACAGGATGTGCGGGGAGCTGAAGAATCCCGTGCGGACGCCTTGGTGACGCAGCAGGGATTCGGTCAGGGCGCAGGTGGAGCCCTACGAGGAGATATGAAGGTATCAGTAAGTTTACCATTGAAACATATATAAAATATATGAATTTACCATATAAAATATATAAAACTTCTAGCTATCTAATATAATAAATATAATTTTAATACAGTAACCGCGTTGCTCTTAAAAGTGGGTAAGTATATTATAAAAATGTTCTTATAAATATATTAAGTATAAAAAATGTAAAAATATATTAAGTATAAAAAACCAATGAAAAAATTATAAATACAGATGTATACTAAAATACAAATTGAAAGTACTTGTAATTAAAAAAAAAATACTTAAACAGGAATTTGAAATTTTTAAGAACCTCTCTGATAATAAAATGAAAATTACTTTTTTTCGTAGACCAAAGAAAATTTCAATATAATATCTCATGCAACTAAAAATACCAAATTTTCCATTAAAAAGTTAAGTGTAAAATAATCAGAATTCTAGTCCACTCGGAAACCGTTTATATCTGATTATGTTTGTTATCTATGGACGTGTCCTACTAACAGTACAAAAAAGTGAAAATATAAACCAGTGAAGTCAGAGCTCAATCATGGCCAAATGGAACTGAAAACAAAAAAGTTTGGAAAGTAAACAAGTTTGGTATTTGGACAAATTGATACTCCCTAAATAATATAGTGCAATACCTATTATACAAATTGATACTTCTTAAATATTTTAGTTTAGAAAGTTTTGGTGAAATTTGCATAGCAAGGTCGATATAATAGACCAAGTGACTCTGATAAGACCGATTCTTGTGAAATAACTTCTATCAGTAAGTAGATAATGAGTTTAATCACAGTTCTTTCTACACAATAATAATGTTATGTTCTATCAACCTGAAATAGTTTCAAAGCTAATAATAATAATAATAGTTTCAAATGGTAATAAGATCTCAACTTAAGTCAATGTAATATGTTCTTATAGATATTAGATATGTACTCAAAATACCCGATTTATAAACTCATAAGGGGTATCAAGCACCTTAACAGATCCATCAATGAAAAAAATATAAAATTGGAAGCTAAACAAATCTTATCAGCAAGTGAGCGATTAGCGGCCTTAAAAGAGAGGCAGAGAGAGAGTATTCTGATTGGATGAGAGAGTGGTGAGTAAATTGAGAGAGGGAGAGCTAAGCCCAAGCTAAAGTTGATTAGCCTAACTAGAAACCAGCTGATATTGGTGCAGCATGAAGAAAACCTTAAAACCCAAACAAAATGATGAGAAACAGAACCCGAAAACAGGTTACCGATCGTTTGGCTGACCTTGCCCTTGGTACCGGCTACATGGATGAAGGACAGCCGCTCCACGGTTTCCAGCGGCAGACCGCTCCGCTCCAGGTACTTAATGGTATCCGCCTTGGTATCCACGCGGGCATTGTACATCGAATTCCTTATGGCAGCATCGTTCGACTGCAGGAAGTTCAGCTGCTTGATGGCCTCCTAAAAATGGCAAAAAATTATGAAATTATAATATATTATATCAAAATGGTTCGTTAAAAAATTCACATTTTTACTCTGTAAAACCCAAACTTTGAAAGATATTACTTTCTGTACTGAAGATGAAACTTTTGTTATTGCAATTCCAACTTGTATACCAAATTTCATATCGATCGGACAATATACATATGCACATAAGTAGATCCCATTAAGATCCACGAATCTGGTGGTTTTCAGAATTAAAGTTTCAGGTATTATTATTCAAGAACTTTATATGTTAATTCTATTTACAAAACCATATTTGTGCTTTAGTACTTCAGTAAAGAATTTTTAAATATTTTGTTTTTAGATTTCTTATTAATTTTTCAAAACCAAAATGTTTAAATAATAATTATTAGTTACAGCATTGGTCAATAGGAAAAATTTACAAAAAGCATAAGACCACAAAACATTTTAAAAGTTTTAGGTTAAAAACTTCTTATGTGATCATGGAATATTGAAAGTAGTCATATTAATATATATATATTATTATTAAATATGTTCAAAATAAGCACACAATAAGTCAAATATCAAATTTAGATAACTACATACATATGACTTTATAATGTGATTTATAAAAATTTTAAAAATTATTATGATATAAATAGTGAGATTTTCTTCGCTTCTTAAAAGGATACAACATACTAAAAGATAGGGGGTACGTTGATCTGCTTTTGAATATCTGTGTAGTAATAATGGGTGTTTCATTGGACCTACCTCAAAGGCGGCATTATCGGCCTTGTTGTTGTTGTTGCTGCTGCTGGTAGAACCATTACCCGTACTATGATTTCCATTACAACTCTGTGAAGGGGGATTAAAGACGAGCTCGGCCAGGCTACAACCCGAACCCGATACTGCCAGGGACTCCATGCGTTGGATGCTCACTGTACTGAGAGTGGTCGCCGTACTGTAAGTGCTCACTGTACCCCTACTGAGGGAGCTCACTGTACCCGAAAGATCAACGGCTAGCGATCGGACTAAGCGCCCCAGCTGGCGAGCAGCCATATTTATAGAGCCGGAACCGTAGCCGTAAACCTCCGCCGATCGGCGAACCGCTCTCCGACCGCGGCTGCCTCTCTTTCGGTGCCAATCACAGGTGCTTTAGCGGTATCTAATGACAAAAATGGAAGAAACTGGTAAATAAACAAGACCAATTAAAGCATAGAAACAGTCTTAACGTGGGGGCAAGAAATAGATATGTTGAAAAAGAGTGTGTGTGCGTGGCTTGTAAATTCTAGACCATACCAATTGAACGATAAGATGCTTGCTTTTATCAGCATAGCACAAATGGTAATAAGTAAATAAGTCTTTGTTAATGCGCATATTCAAATATTGCGCCAGATAACGGATAACGATTGCGATAACTGGATATGCGAGCTCGATAACAAGCAGTGCAAATCTATCGCACACACACGTGCTCGGTACACACATACACACTATTGCAGCACAGCAAATAAACATTGAGTTTGGTCTACCTGGAATTGCAATAAACAAACTGCAATTTCATAGGTTTCCAGGTAACTGGTCGCACCCAATCGCCGGCCAATCTGTTTATTTAGCTTCAGATAACAGTATTGAGCTTTCCAAGTATGTTATTCCACGCACAATTTGCTTTGCAATGAAATCAACGTAATCGCAAAACCACAAAACGCGCCAACACAACAACACAAAATAACATGTGGACGGCAAACAGCTGATCAAGCGACCGAGATGGCGAGTTGGCTATTTTCTAGCAGAATCTGGCTAGCATTAACAGTCTGATTGAAGGTTGTGATGGATTCATCTTTATTTATATTTATTACTTACAACATAGTACTTAAGTAATCTACGGAACAGACTTTTGATTGGCAATGATTTCAAAGTGTTTTGTTTAATTTAATATATTTATTTTTGTATAATGTAATGTAACAATTTGTATAAACTTGACAATTTATAAATTGAAATATGAACATGTATTATTGTTAACTTTCATAGTTATTCTATGATGCAAACCTTTTTTTAACTTTTATACATACGGATAACTTTAATAAGTATTTGTTGAAGAAGTTAGTTTGTGTATAACTTAAAAATCCTTATTAAAGCCAGACTTGATTAGCTTTGGAGATCCTACCTCAATTTCGTTATCACTTCTTTTCAAATAGTAATAATATATTTTTGTATACTTTCGTAATTTATATATTGTAATTTTTTGTTTTATTCTGAAATGCAAGTTTTATTTGTATTTTATATATTTGTAAATTTTTGTATTATTCTGCAATGCATTTTTTATTATCAGGGTATCCAAAAAAAACATTTATTACATCGTGTTCGGAATTTTTGTAATTTTTTTATTAATCTGCAATGCATTTTTGTGTTCTTCGTATTTAATGTTTATACACTACTCTATTTTTTAAATCTACCATTTAGCTATTTTTAAAAGCTAGTTTTTAGCTAAGCCCTGGCACTCAACAGTTCGCCAGCACTTTCAGATGTAAACAATGGCAACACGCGGCTTCAGTTGGAATTTAAATTAACATATGATGGCAGCGGAAACAAGCACTAAGACCAGGTAATGCCCGATTCCTAGCCCTATAAACCAGCATTATATCCCTTCAATATCCCTTAGCACCCTTCGTTTGGGCATGTGTGAGGTGTGCGCCGCGAAGGAGGCCCGCTACGCGTGTCCCAAGTGCGAAGTGAAAACCTGCAGCCTGCCCTGCGTCCAAATTCACAAGAAGGAGCTCGGCTGCGATGGCCAGCGGGATCGCACCAAGTTCGTACCCCTCAGCGAGATGACATCGCGGGAGTTCATGAGCGACTACTGCTTCCTGGAGGAGTGCACCCGCTATGCGGAGAATCGGAAAACCGATCGATGCAAGCGATTCACCCACGACCAGAGGAATCTCCCGGTGGCCCAGCATCGCATGCGAACGGCGGCCAGGAAGCGCAACATCAATCTCCGCCTGCAACTGGAGAACTTCAGCCGGCACAAGGAGAACACCACGTATTTGAACTGGAAACTGGGACGTTTCTATTGGCGCGTCGAATGGCTCTTTGCCAACATTCCCCTCGAGGCGCAGCATACGCGGGATGTGGCCCGATTCGTGGACGATCGGTGCGATGAGGAGGTCACCCTGTCCGATCTGGTCCTCAAGTATGTGGATCTGCAGCAAGAAACTGCGAAGGATCATCGCAAACTGCTGGCAAACCATCAGACCGCCGGCATTGACCAGCTGAGTTTCTGGCTAAGAGCCGAGGGCGTGCGACGCAGCTCTACGAGATGCTACCGCCTGCAGGCGACCAAAACGCTGGGCGAGAATCTAGCCGGCAAGACCATCGTGGAGTTCCCCACCATCTTCGTTACCTACGAACCGAAGCCACCAGGCGGCTATGAAGCCATCGACAGCAGTAGGTTTTCCTTAGTCACTTTAGGAATATTACTTTTTTTATTTTAGGAATTTATTAGGACTTGTTGGTCCCCCATTTATAATCTCAAGTTAGTTCTTTACCGAATAAGTTTTTAAAAAATGTTTAGAACTCTTAAATCTTACTAATATTGGATTTATTACATTTAAGTAAACAAATACTTTTTTGGCTAGGGATTATAGAAGTCCCTTACAATTTCCGTTCTTTTAAGATGTTATACTCAGCTTTTTATTTAACATAAAATTATTTAAAGGTCTGAAAATATTTTCATTACTCGATTGGATTAATAGTTTAATTGCTCACTCAAAAATTAGAAAGAAAATCGTGAGCTTATCTATTATTATAAAATGTTTGACTATAGATGAGCTTATTTAAATTTTAATTGTTCCTTATATCAAGCTAAGCTTATAATAATAATAACTTAAAAACCTTTTCCTAAATTTGTCACACATTTACAACAATTTTAGGTGATGAAATGGAGGATGAAGAGCCAATCATAACCAAAACCAAACCAAGTGCAACTCCAATTGCAGAGGATGCAGATGAACCACATGATGTCTACCATGATCTGGCTGCAGCTTTTGCTGGTGAAGATGTCAGTGAACCTGAAGACGACGAAGAATTCGAGGCACTCTACAGAGAGCACGTGGAACTGTAGAAGCGAATCCAAAGCCTCAAGGCTTTTCAAGAAGTCAACAGATCACAGGATTATAGGGCTAAGGGCATTAAGCCTGCCCAAAATTGGTCAGCATTAATAAAGTGGAACCAAGTAACCTGAAAGGCCACCATGCCAACCATAACCACTGATAATTAAGTAAATAAAACAAGTAGCTTTTATATTTTTACATAAATGTTGTATTTTCTCGTACGCATTTGATTTAATTTGTATTTTAGGCTAATTTAAACATAAAGAATTCATACCACACTTCGTTTCGATCTAGTTCCGTCATTGTCAACATCATCATATTACCAATCAATCATGATCATCATAATATTATGTATATATAAAGAAGTTTGAAAAATCAAGTTACAGAGCCTTGGGGGGTTAATCGTAATTTGTGTACACATTTTGAGTACAGAGTTTGTGGTCAATGCACAGCAGTTTGTCCCTACTTGGAGGATTTCTATTTTAATTTTGATATACCAATTAGCATTTCGATTTGTACATAATACATATGTGTGCCAGTATATTCCTATATAATTTCATTATTTTACTTTCTTTCATTCCTTCCATTCCTTGCTTATTTCTTTTTTTGCCTGCACCAGTTATTTTTTTTTTGTATATTATTAAAATTAAAAATTAAAGCATAAACAAACAAGTTCTAACAAATAAACATTTTAAAAATGCATTTTCAAATTCAAACAAAAAGTAAAAAACAGAAAAAACCATTTAAATTGTTCTAAAGATACATTTATAAATATATATATAATTGGAATCATTTGCATATTTCACACCAATCGTATAAGGAGACACAGAGAGAGAGAAGAATACATCGAGAAAGGAAATCATTTGCTTCTCAATCGCTTATCAATGCAATATCAATTTTGTAGTTCATAGAAAACATACAGATAGATCAGTTATACATATATATAGTATTTAGATGTGGGAAATACAGCAATGCATAATCAAGGTGAATTCCGAATGTCTGACCTCCTTCGAATACATTTTCATACAGCTAAACAAAAAATAATCATAAAAACTATGCAACATACAAAAGAAACATGTATATAAACAGAAATCGGGGGAGAAGGTGGATTTAGAGGGGTTTCGGGGAATCGGGGGGGCGTATAGTTTACATAGAGAAAATTTACATATATAATTCGCTAGTCGTACATAAATCGCTTTCTTCATCGTTTCCTCAATTAATCATTCACTAAACGTTAAGACACCGATCGCACACTCACACACACACAATCGCATGCGCATAAAATGGTAAAATTAGGTGTTTAATTAAGAGTTTGGGTGAGTTAATTTAGTAGAGACACACACACAAAGATAGGACAGACAGACGACAGAAGTTTAACAAACTGTAGGAGCTTGATAAAATCGAAGGACAAACTTTTCCCCTGCTGGAAAGTTGCCTTTTCTCGTGTGGATGCGTGTGTGTATATTTTATGCATGACTGTGTGTGTGCGTGTGGTAGCGTTCGTTGAAAAGGTTTTTCTTTTTTTTTACGTAGTTTCGAAGTGCTGCTGCAATGAAAGAGTAATCCAATCAATCAGGCATCATCCGCCATCATCCGTCTCAACTCACATCTCGTTGGCATTTGTGGCAGCCCTCTGCACATCCTCCCCATCCTCATCCTCCTCCATCATCCATGCACACCTGTTGCTGCTCCTGATCCCGAGGCTCCTGCTCCTGGTCCTGAGCTAGCTCCCACTCAGATCCCCTACTGCTGGTGCGTGGGCGCCGCTCCGGGCACAAAGAAACCGCCTTGGGGCACCGCTGCCGGCGCCATTATGGGGGCCAGCACATTTTCCGGCGCCGCCGACATGGGCGCCCCCGAGGGATTGAACACATCCACGTACGAGTTCTTCAGCGCTGCAAAGTAAAAGAACAGAAAAGGATTAGTAAAAAAACGACAAATAAATAAAACCTTAATGCATTTCTTAACTTAGAAAATGAATAAAAATATATGAAATAATAATTCTCAAGAATTCGCGACCCCATTATTTTATATTTACGATTTTAGACTTCGTAATAAACATATATACAAAATATAATTTACTTCTTAATAATTATTCGGATCTAGAAATTTAAAATTGCCTTTTGAAAACCCAAAATTATATATGCGTATATTGACTTATGACCTTTAAATCCTGGACAGATTTTGTTAAAAAATGATAGGCAACTTAGTGCGGTTGCGTTTCATCTTTAGCATGTAGGACTACCTCATTGATTTTCTTAAAAAAAAAATGAATAAGAATTATTTCATTACACTTAATTGAAAAAAGTTTTTAAAATTAAGCTGAAGAATTCGCGAGTCAATTTTTTGTATCTTTAGAGCTTTCATATTGGACTTTATAAATATGTGTACGTGTACTTGTTAATAGTAATATGGATCTTGAAATTTAAAACCGCATCTTGAATTTGTTTAACTTCCTAATGAGTATTATTACACTTCCCTTGAAATTTTTCAAATGAATCTCAAGAATTCGCGAGTCAATTTTTTTTTATATCTGGGGTTTTAATTTTAGACTAATATATGTATGTGCAATGTACATATAAAAAATCTACTTGTTGCGAGTAATTCGATTTACATCTTAAAACTTGTATATAAGTTCAAATCCTACACAGATTTTCTTTAAAAATGGATGACCAACTTACTGCGGTTGCGTTGCATCTTGAACATGTTCGACTGCAGCTTGGGCTGGGGTCCTCCAGGAGTGGCCGCAGGATTGGGCGCCGCTGCCGCAACCGCTGCCGGTGCAGGTGATGGGACAGGCAGTGGCGCCGGCGATGGAACCGTGGGTATCATCTCGGGTGCAGCCGGAGCAGCCGTGTAATCAATGGCACTGCCGTACATTTGCGGCTGCACCGGAGGCTGTTGATCCATCAACGGTGCGGCTTGGTGGCCGCTCAGAGGATTGGTGGCCATTGGCGGTAGCGCTGCACCCATGCCCATGCCCATGCCTCCTGGAGCTGCGGGTGGTCCTCCCATGCCCAGATCACTCATCTTGGGCGGCGGCTTAAAGCTCTCCACCTCTTCGCCATTGCCCTCGGTGTTTGTCCAGCATTTGCGCTCCTTGTCCCAAACGATGGTGGGATTCTTGTCGTCCGGCAGAATCATTTGGTTCTTCGGCTTCAGCGACAGCTTGTTCCAGAGGCCGCCAAACCAGCCAGCATTCTGATTGCCAGGTGCACTTTAAAACGAAGAGAGAAGAATTTGTTTTTAGAAAATCATCATATCACATCATATCTAGTTATAGCTCACCCAAGATCGCCGCCGGAGTTGGCCGGTTTGCCCGATGTCTGCTGTTTGCCGGCCGCCTCAGAGGAGCCTCCAAGCGATGGTTTCTGGCCAGGATGTGCCGCACCCGCATTACCAGCTCCACCATCGTCCTCATCCCCATAGCTCTTTGACTTGGGCATGGAAATGGCCGGGCGTGCCTGCTGCTGCAGCTGTTGTTGTTCGTTGATCGTGATGCAAAATTGAAGTTGAAGTTAAGAAATAGCATTGGATTAGTCTACTGCGAGAAGCAATCGGTTTAGGCATAAGTCATAAGTCATAAGACATAAGTCATAGTGTTTAGGTTGGTTAGTAACAGAGAGTAGTTATATGGATTAGTCAAATCGAATCGAATGAACAACGTAAACATGGCAAATAAACTGGCGCAGTCAAAAAACCTCTTGCTCACAATTATCGGTAGTATATAAGGCTTAGTGATTACAGATTGCTTAGGGGCATTATAGACTAATTCTAGATTTAACAGCTAACAGGTTAAGACAAGCTCCAGGTACTGAAAGCACCCAAAAAGAGAAAAAAAAGCAGCGTTGCACTTGCTCCTCTTTTTCTTTTCTACCCAAACTCTTGGGTTTCATAAATACTGATCTTTAGGACATTTGTTTCTTTTTTCAGTGAGTTTGTTTTTACAATTTCTTCTTAGATCTAAGAGTCAAGCCAGCATTTGCGGATGTGCCGCTGCTGCTGCTGCTCCGATGACCCCTTCGCGTGGGTGCATCGATGTCGAAGGTGCGCACGGGGACTGCCGGCGGTTGCATCTGTTGCTCCTTCTTGCTGTCCAGATAGTTCTCGAATCGACTCAGGCTGTGCTCCACCTCGGAGCACATTTTCTTGTAGTTCAGTGGTATGGCCGGATTGGCTATCAGCTCCTCCATGGACCACACATGTTGCGGCTGGGAGGCCGAGGAGCTGGCTGCCTCCACGGAAGCCGGTGTTCTCTCAGCCCTTCGTCCTCCGCCTCCTCCTCCTCCGCCGCCTGTCTCTTTGCCTGGTATAATCCCATACTTGTTGAGCAGCTCATGGGTATAGTAATCCCCGTCATCAAAGCTCTCATCGTCTTCGGGGTAGGGAAAGAGATCCTCGTCCGCATACTCATCCTCCTCATCTTCGGCCTGCTCCTCACCCTCGGCATCTTCATCGATCACATAGTCATGAAGCATGTAGTTCCTATAGCGCTGCAGGTCACCACGATCTGTATTGGCCTCTGGGTCGTAGGAGTTGCCCTTGAGTTGGCTCTGCCCCTGCAACAGGGGCATATCAATGGGATAGGTGCCATTGAAGACAATGTGAGGCTTCCGAGAGAGATGTCCACTTGGTTTGGCCTGCGCCAAAGCCATTGAATTACCCTCCTCCTCCTCGTCGTCGTACCCAAAGTCCAGTTCATGTTCGAATTCCTGCTCCGATTCGGCAATAGTTGAGGGCAGATTAAAGTTAACCCGCTTGGTGGTCACTCCTCTGGCACCTGGAGACGACGTGGTCGTCGATGTGGTGGGCGCTGTGGGCGTGGCTGTAACCGTGGCTGTTTTGGCGGCAATAAAACGCGTGGGCGTCGTAAGCGTTTTGGGCGTGGCTAAGTAATGGCTATTTTGGCTGTTAGACTTTCTACAACTTAGTGATTGATTAGGAAGAGTAGCTGCTGTTGCTGCTTTTGTTGCTGCTGTTGCTTTGTTGCTGCTGCGATTGTTGCTGCTGTTGCTGGTAGCTTGATGTCGTTTATTTATGTTCGAATAGCTACTTACATCATTCAAATTGAATGCCTTTGCCGTTGATGTTGCTGCTGTCGTCGCTCCTGCTGCTGCTGCTGCATGTGTTGCTGGAGTTATCTGGGCAATTGCTGCTGCTGCCGCTGCTATGGTGGCTGTTCTAGACGCCTCTTGCCTTTTTCGCAATGCACTGCTGCTCTTTTCCTGCTTCAAGGCATTCGATTTGAAGCGATTGTTGCTGTTGGCGGCGCCATTGCTGCGAGTATGTTGCTCCTGTTGCAGCTTGGCCTGATGCAACTGTTGCTGCTGTGCCTGCTGCAATATCTGCTGCTCATCCTCCTCCTCCTCGTCCTCCTGTTCCTTTAAGGCAGCTTGATTCTCATTTGGCTGCATTTCCATTCGAAATAAAGCGTGTTTTTATTTTTTCGATGTTGTGTGTGTGCGTGTGCAATGTGATAGAAACTTGTTAGCAATTTGGCGAGTCCTACTTGTTTGGCTATAACACAAGTTCAAGACAGATCAAAACTTAAGGCGTAAACGTAGAAACCATAAAGTACAAAACTAAAACATAATATAGACAATACAACTTATACACATAGATCAACTTAAAATAAATGAAAAAGATAAAGAAGCAAACAATGAAACCCTCTGTAAACCAATTAGAAAATAAACTTATAGTTAGGATAAAGCTATATTTAACTCAAAATAAGATAAAGTAAATCTCTTAGCTAAAAAATGGTCATTGTAAATGCATCAAATGGGAATACAGAGGGTTTAGGGATGGCTGGATCCTGGACCTACCTCATCGCCATAGGGTGGCTGCTGTGTGCCCGACCAGTAGTCATAACCATAGCTTGGGGGAACAGCAGATGGATCTGCAGTTTGACCTGGTTGATAGGCTTCAGCGGCAGGTTCTACTTGGCCATAGTTGCCAGTCGGTTGCTGTTCATATTGATGGTGGGCCACATTCGGATCGTATTGGTGCTGCACCGCATTCGGGTCGTATTGCAGCTGCCCCGAATTGGGATCGTAGTAGGGCTGTTGTCCCTGGCCATAGGGATCCGACTCGGCCGGCGCTTGAGGTGCTGGTGGCTCATAGTATTGTTGTGCCGGCTGTTGGTGCGCTTCCGGCAGAACTTGCTGCACTGGCTGCTGTTCCACTGGCGGTGGCACTTGCTGTTGCAGCGTATTCTCCAGATTGCCACCATCGTATTGCATGTTCAGCTCCCGGAACTGCTTATTCACCTCGGCAAACTGCTGGTCGATGTCGTTCTGCTCCTGCTGGATTTGCTTTTCCTGCTGCAACTGTTGCAATTGCTCTGGCTGCTGCTGCTGCTGCAAGGAATGTACATCGCATTTAGATACATTTACAAGATGGTTCCCCAATGTTTAACCCACCACATCGGTTAGGGATCGCAGCTGGCGCAACCAGGCCTTTTCCTCGGGAACTGCGCTATCCTTGTTGGTGGCATTCGGAGGACTCGCAAAGGACACACGATTGATCAGGATGGGATCATGGTAGCGTAGGCGTTCGGCCAAACCCCAGACCTGCAAAAAGAAATATAAAGGTTAACAAGATTCCATATAATACTAATCAAAAGAATCCTACCCGCTGGATGAAATCGGCGTCGTAGCTCTCCGGCTTCAGTTCAATGTGCTTGGCGATTTGCTCTAAGTAGTTGGTGCAGCGGAAGTGCTGGCCATAATCGAGGATCCTGGTGGCCAGCAGGAACTTGTAGTGCTGGAAGTGTGCAATGCTGAACTTGGGATCGAACAGCGATCGTGCGTACTCGTAGATCTCCGTCATGATAATGGCCTCGTTGCTGGCGAACTCATTGAAGTGCTTGTAATGCGAGGAGCCCAGCAGGATAAGCCTGTCAACGAAAGTGAGATAAGTAAGGGAGTAGAAAGGAGCTAGAAGCGCATCTAACCTGGGCACATTGGCTGTCAAGGTAGTCAGCTCTGTGGCAGAGCTATCGTAGCGCCCGAACTCCTCCTGGGCCACCAGATAACAAAAGTGTGCTGCATAGATATCGCCCCGTTGGAAAAGCGTGTCGCCCAGCGCAACCACTGAACTGCGATCGTACTCTGGCTGGCGACTCTTGTTGGTCACCAGAATGGATAGATGTGACCGCCAATCGCCCCATTGCTCATCTCTCAGCTGGCTGACGCACGCCGGCGTTTGGCAGCTCTTCATTTGGTAGAGCGTCTGCAGCGGATCATTGCCCTTGATGGCGCGATTAAGGAACTTCTGGGCCACATCGGTGAGGGCATAGCGATCCTCGTAGAGGGCCAGGAAAAAGGCATGCGTCCACAAGCCATTGTCGGTGGCCCACTGCAGGGCCTCCTCCACATTGCCGCGCAGCACATAGCTGCGGAACTTGTCCGTGGCTGCCTGTTCCGACAGAGGTGTCTGTCCAGCTCCTCCAGCTGCAGCCGCTGCAGCTCCCACATTCGCTTCATTGGACGAGCTAGCTGCTGCACCCACGGCAGGTGTTTCCTCTGGCGTAGCAGCTGCTGCCGGCGATTGGCTATCTGAATCTGATTCCACTGCCTTCTCCGCTGGAGCAGCAACATCCTGCTCAGCATCCACCTCTGGCTCGTTCTCAGCTTCGTACTCGCTGAGATCGTAGGGATACTCCTGCTGATTCTCCAGCAACAGGTCGCCCACATCAGTGTCGGCAATGTACTGAAGAGATGGAATACAATGAATACCACTTTCCAAATGGAAACACCTGGTCTAAACTTACCCCATTCTGGCGCAGCAGCAGTATAAGCAGGTTCCACATAAGGGCATGTGAGGCACGGTATTTGACCACGCTGCCCTGTGGCTTCTTCTGCGTGGCATACAGCGCAGTGCAACCCTTTGTGGGTCCCAGTCGTATCTGTTCCTTGCAGAAACTGATGATCTTGTCCTTGTGCAACTTGCGGCCCTGCAATGGACCCGGATACATACGCAGCAGGCTGCTCGTACCGTCTCGGATGCGTGGTGGTGCCACCTCCACGTCGTTGCGCAGACGTCCGCGTCCAGCGTACTTGGGTTTCACCTTCAGCAACAGACTCATCGCATACGAGGCCACCAAATGCGGCCGGTTGAACTGCAGGGGAGTGCGTCTGCGCGGCGGACGAGCCACCGCGGTGGTGCTCACCGTTCCAGCGGTGGCCACTCCACCATAAGTCGATGGTGCCGCTTCAGCAGCAGCTCTGCGATTGATCACAAAAACATAGGAATTAGTATCAGAGGCAAAGGTAAATAAACTTTTAAAGAAAGAAATAACCAAAAGATCATGCAAAATCGAAAAGGGGAATTGGGGGTTCAGATCAGAGATGGGGTTTTGGGGTAAGGTAAAGGCTATATAGTGGAATAGGGGAAAAAGAACCCATCGGCGAAGTAGATTTCAACAGTTCCCACTGCATGCCACTTAAAGGAAAGATTTCGACAGGCACTTTAAAGTCCCAAGCATTTTTATCATATTTATAGAGATGATAATACCTCACTCATTATTTTCAATGCACCTGACCTCTCTAATTTTCGGAAATATCGTAACTATCACTTTAACTGGTTGTTATTTTTCCAAATTTGTATCAGTGTATGCCTTTTGGAGCTAATTTATCCTCATCGCTTATCATTGATTACTTTTAAAAACAGTATAACTACAACTTCTAAGATCTTCGTGTTAGGTTACTAAGAAATTTTACCCTTTTCTTGATTACTAAGGTAGCTTTGCCCAAAAAAAAGGAATACAATTTAGTAGTCAGTGATACCAAGGTGTTCCAATAATAATAATAATTCAAAGATCACAGACAATAATACCAAATCGCTATAATTATAATCGTAAATATGTTTATTTGTAACCATAATAAAACTACAAAAGCAAGTTTCCTGAACCCAACCATCCAAAAATGTGTGACAGAGACAGAAATCGAGAGATCATCTGTTCTAGACAGAGACAAAGCGAAGAAACGATTTTCCAAAGCAGCAGAAGAGTGAGTGCGACAGAGATGGAGAAAGTGGGTGAGAAGGACAGGTGGTTTGGTTGATTTGAATTTTGCCTAGATGATAGCGCAAAGCTTCGCAGGAGAGTAAGAGAAAGCGAGAGAGTGGGTTTAGTTTTTTGTTGGACAGCAGAATTTTTCAGTTTGTTTTTTTTTGTATACCCTTGCAGAAGGTTTCTTAATTTGTATGGGTAATTTTGGTGTATTACCATTGTATAGGTAATGTTTTTTTAAGTGATACAACATACTATATTCATAGGATTCAAGAAATTTGAGTTCCAAGTTCCAATTGTTAAAGCATTGTTAATATTAAAAGCTGGCCATTTACATTTTGATTAATATCGTAATATTATAACGTATTGTAGTGCTATGCCTGACAAACCAATATAATATATATTTAAATATATATTTTAATAAGAAATCCAATTGCTGACTAGACTTTTTAACAGTTTGAAGGAAATTGAATTGGTTAATAATAGGAATATTATGTTCTAATTAAAATATGGCCTATTAATGTGGTAATTGATGGTCTTATTATAACCAAAGGACCAAGTTTTGGTCATTAGCAAACTTTTACAACTGTTGTTGGAAACAAAAATTGAGATACGATCATTCTTTTAGGATGATATATAGAGTTCATGCAAGGGTATATATAAACTTTGGCTTGCCAAAGTGTGGGTCCTTTCTCGTTTTGGTTGTCTTAGCATTCTTTTTTTTTTGACCACCTGATATCGAGACCGCACTCGGAACCAGCGTAATACGGTCCGGATCGGGAATTGCGTCCATCGCCGTTCAGATTGCTCAACGAGCGGGCACTGGAGAGCGGATATGGATGGTATTGGTTATAGATGGATCCTCCACGCGATCCGTATAAACTGGCATTATCCTCCGTAATGTTAAAACTGGAGTTAAGATCCTCCCTCTGAAGTTGATGTTGTTGTTGTTGTTGCTGGTAGATCAGCTCTTTGTATTGGTGGCGATGGAATTCATTGGCTTGGGTTATGTATGCGTGTGTATACCTGTATTGTATAATGTAAAGGTGGGAAGTTGGGCAGATAGCACAAATGTTGTTGTTGTTGTTGTTCGTTTTTTGTTGTGCATTTGGTTGTTGTTGTTGTTGGTTAGAGACGAAAACAGTTTTGCTGTTATTTACGAATTTGCATTAGTTTTATTTTTGTTGGGGATTTTTGGTGTTTTTTTTTCACTTAATTAGTAAAACACGTAGTACACAACGATCGTCAGACGGGGAACAAATTGGAAGTGGAACATGGTATATGGCTGGGATGGTGGAATCCAATTGGAAGGTGTAATATGTAAATGGGTACAACGCAAGGGAAAGAGAAAGCTGCGAGAGAGCGAGCGAGAGAGAGACCTCGATTCTAATCACTAACTACAAAAAAATGAGCAATTTAGTTTAGTTGATAAGATTAAAAGCCCAAGTCCAACCTCAACATTTAATGGGGCAGGGTCAGGGTGTAAAAAGGGAAAGGGGAGGTGGGATGGTCCCATTATTATGTTAAACAAACTAGGTTAATCATTAGTTTTTAGTTAGCAAAAAGCGAACTAAAATAAACGAGTAAGAGAAAACCAACAACTACTTCAAGATCAAAAGGTTAGGAGCAGGTAAAGGGTTCAGGCTAGAGGTTAAGGTTAAACTAAAGGAACGGTGGCAAAAGAACACGATTTCGGAATAACCGAAACATTATCTTCCAAAACTTGCAGAGATTTAGGGTTTACTTTTCATTGTAGTCCACGGTCTGAAGCAAGATAGTGACTAGTTCAGGAATAACATGCTATCTAATTTAACATGCTATCTAATTTATTTAATCTCTTTCTAACGTCTTAATTTTATGGATCATTATAAGAGATTTAACACGCTCAAGTCACGAGTCAAATTTCGTCACACTAATAAATAAATGCATAAGGAAATCGTTTTAAAAAGAACCAATCCCGGAAATTATGGAATTTATTTTAAATACCAATACTAAATAGTAATACTATTTGTTGACAAAGAAACTTCAAATAAACCTACGTATGTATGGGATAGTTCCTTCATAGGACTAACAATCAATTAAGGAAGGCTCATTATTTAAGATTTTAAAACTGTTTTTGACAACTAAAAAGTTGTTTTATGCAATTGGTTTATTTTAGGCTAGATTTTTTTTTAATTTCTGAGCCAAAACCCATAAACCTGATCTCTTCCAAAAACATATGTTCTGACTTCTTAACAACCCATAACAACAATTTTGAAAGGCTCATTATTTAAGATTTCAAAAATGTTTTTGAAAACTAAAATGTTTTTATATTCGTTTATTTTAGAATAGATTTGCTATAAATTTCTGAGCCAAAACCCATAAACCTGATCTATTCGAATAATGTGTTCTGAATTCCTAAAAACCCTTTCCAAAATCTCTGCAAGTTTCTGGGAATGCCCTAAAAGACCAATAAATCTTTCAATTTAAAAAAAATAAAATCAAAGCATTGTAGTTTCGCTACTAACCTTTCTCGCTCCCTGAGCATGGCGGCTTCACTGCTCCCGCTGACACTGGCTCCACTTGTGGCGGCCACCAACTGGGCGGCACTCACCGGAACCGCGCCGGGCACCAAGCCTGGTATCGCCGCGGCACCAGGAACTCCCGACTTCGAAGCAGCCGCCGACACAGCGGCCGTCATCGAGTTGATCATCTGGCCATAGAACTTGGCGTACATATCGGCATAGGCATGTGGATTCCGCGACATTTGCTCGTACATACTGTACGGATCATAGGCACCGGTAGACACGGCATACTGATCGTAGTTGTTGCGACGTTTGCCCGAGCCGGAACCACCGGCTCCTCCGCCACCGCTGGTGTTTCCGCCATTGATGCGCTCCTTCTCGAGATCGCTGTTGCGCGAACTCTTCCGACGGTACTCCTCATAGCCACCGTCCCAGTTCCGCAAATCCTGATGACGTCTGCGACCATCCTCCGGTCGACCGCCACTGCGTCCGTGATTCTCGTAGCTTCGTCGTCCGCCGGAGGAACGCGATTTGTCAGCCGATGATTGCGTTTTGGTAGAGCGTCTGGAGTACTGACGATCGCGTTCGCGTTCTCGTTCGTAATCGTCGAAGTCCTCCTCGGCGGCGCTGCGTCGCTGACGACCGGCTTTACTGCTCCGGCCACCGCTACCGCCGGCTCCTCCGGTGCTGCCATCGAGCTCTCCCTCGCCCAGATGATTTATCTCCGGATTATCCGACTCGCCGTCATAGGTGCTGTTGTTGAAGCGACGCGAGTGATCATAGGAACGCTCCTGATCCTCGCCGCCACTGTGATACTTGTTGGATCGTCGGCGCCAGGTTCGGTCACGCTCCCTGTCCCGTTCCCTCTCGCGCTCCACCTTCGGTTCCTGGGGGCGACGAGAGCGCGTGGAGTCGTGATTGCGCCTGTGTTGCGTTTCCCTCAGGGATTTGGTCTCGTGGTGGGCAGTACCGCGGACGGAGTCCTCCGTTTCGCCATCGTAAGTGTAGTGACCATGGCTGCGTCCACGACCCTGTCTCTCGTCCATCAGATCCCTGCGCTCACGCTCACGATCCCGCTCCCTTTCGCTTTGCAGGAACTCATCCGACTCGTCTTCGGTCTCCAGATCCAGCGAGGCATTAGCCCGACGTCCCACCGCCGCACGCTTCTTCTCCTGCTGGCTTGGATGTGGCTGGTGTTGTTGCTGCTGCAACAGTGGTTGCTGCTGATGAGGTTGTTGGGCATTAAGTGGGGTCTGTGCCTGTGGCGGATTGTTGTATTGAAGCTGCTCCGGCTCATCGGGCAGAATGTTGTGATGTACTGATGTCGGGGGAAGTTCGGCCAGAGCTGGTGGTGGGATAGCTTCGCGATCCTCCAGATTTTCGCCATCTAGCACCACTTCCCGCTGTTCTCTCAAGGATGGGGCGTTTGTCTCTACACCAGTAACTACGCGACGTGGTGGCGTCTGTATATTACGCACTTGCTGCTCCCCATCAGAGGTGTCCTCGCCATCCGCCTGACGCTCCTGCATATGCAGTGCGGCCACCTGGGCGACATTGAGCGGTGGCTGTTCCGTGGCTCCGGTGACAAGGCGTTGCTGCTGCGAGTCCAACTCTGGTTGGCCCAAGACCAGACGGGAAAGGCCCGGCGGCGGTAGCAAACCAGCATCCTGATCCGCTTCACCTTCGCCCAGCTGCTCGGATAGGTGACTTGTCTGCAAGTACTGAGCACGTTCGTCATTCGGAGCGGACAACACCTCCTGGTTGTCTGGCTCCACGGGCTGGACAGGCTGCAGCAGTGGTGGTGGTGCATAGTACGACGCGGTTGGTGCAGGAATGGACGCAGGTACACCTAGTGGAGCTCCAATTGAAGCCTCAACAGGTGGTGCCGCCGATAAATTGAAACCATCTCCTTGAGCTTCAGCTGGCAAGCCATAGAGCTGCTCCGCTGGTGGGGCTATTGGAGCTATTGGTGCCGCAGGAGCAACTACAGCAGGTGCTGGTGGCGAAGGAGCTCCTCCCGCCGGATTGGCCATTATGTTAACACGTTTGTTGAGACCCGTGGAGCGTTTAAAGGGATTGCCAGCAGTAGGCGGCAGGGCAGCTGGTGGTGCAATGCCAGCAGACTCCGTTGGTGGTGCTCCCATTGGAACCAAGGGTGCGGGTGGTGCTCCCACTCCGGCAAGAGGCGCTGGAGGAGCTCCCACCGCTGCGAGATGTGCTGGAGGAGCTCCTACAGCAAATAGCGGTGATCCTACAGCAGACGGTGGTGGGGCAAATGAAGCCAGTGATGTGGGTGGTGGTGCTACAGCCGCTGGTTGGTTTTGGAAAGCCTGAGGAGGTACAATGGCATCCAGTTCGGGTTCCTGGCCAAGCTCTGGCGGCGATTGCGGCTGCTGGTGGTGCAACAAAGGTGTCGATTGCTGATGCAATGGCTGCTGATGCAATTGTGGTGCTTGCTGATCCGTTGGAGGCGGCAGCTCCACATTATTATTGACATTGTTACTGGTGGCAAAGGCTTGCCAGCTGCCTGGCGAAGACTGCACATTAAAGGAATCCTCTAGCAGTTGTCCCGATGGCTCCAACAAGGCCTCGTTGCTGTTGCTAATGCTGCTGACGCTATTATTATTGTTGCTATTGTCGTTCCAATCGCCCCAATCACCCCAGCCATCGCTCCGGCCACCACCACCACCGCCTCCACCTCCTCCTCCTCCGCTATTATTGTTGTCAAACGAGTCCAGAGCGGGTTCCGCTGGAGCCGGGACTTGTGGCTGCTGGTGAGTGGGATAATACAGTTGCTGCTGGATAGTGTGTTGCTGTTGCGTAGGCTGTTGATGTTGCTGTTGCTGCGGTGGCAGTTGCTGCTGCTGCAAAGGATGTTGCTGCTGCTGTCCCGTAAAGTAATTATTGTAGTTTAGCGATGGCTGCTGCTGCTGCTGCTGGTGCTGCTCCTCCGGCCAGTAATTTGGCTGCTGTTGCTGGAACATTTGGCTGGCATAGAGCTGCTGCTGCTGGGCAGGATGAGGTGGCTGCTGTTGGGGCGTTGCATGTTGCTGCTGGGGATTAGGATGTTGCTGCGGGGCCTGTTGCTGCTGCTGCTGCTGATGCGGTGGCAGCCAGGGCGCATTGTTGTGCAACATAATGGATCTTTAAAAAGAGAAACAAAACACATATTAACACGTATTAAATAAGCAAAAGAACATTTCAAAAGACACATATACATAAGCCTACTACATCTAAATACTATATATAGTTATAAAACCAATATATCCATTATTTTAAATCGTATAAAAGTAGGGTCTCAGATTTGTAAGTTCTTTCTTAAGAAAGTCAACTGGGAAGATTAACTCTGAAAATTTGCAAAATTTGGATATAATATTACGCTTGTATTGTAAATTCTTTGTGAATTCTCATTATCTGTGTTTCAATAAAATGTTATGTTTCGATAAGGAAGTATGGTGAAAACATTGTTTGAACCGATAAACTCAATATCAGTTCGTTCTTATAAATGTTTTGTAGGACCTAGTAAATTCCAAACAAGATTTTAAGATTATTTTTAAGATTACTAACTCAAAATGGTGTTGTATGGGAAGTTTCAGTTCTATTAAATTACAAAGAAGTTAATCGCTAGTAAAAAACGTGTGTGACCTTTCAAAAACCCTTATAGTTGGACCTTCATCTAGTATCCCTTGAGATATTTAAAAGGTTTCCAGGTGTTATAAGGATTTTTCCGAGGAGTTCGCAGGTGGTGGGTGGTGGATTTTGTGGAGCAGTTCAATGAACCAAACCAGTTTTGATGGAAAATTACCCGTTTCGACTGATTTTTCCTCAATACCAGCTGGGTGTTGTGAAAAGCGATGGAAAATACGCAAACCAATTTTGAACAATATGGAATAAAGCGTATATTATAAGGCCACAATGAGCGGAAAAGCAAAAGTTAAAAGTTTACGTGGACGTTTGCCATATATTTCCCCTCTCCCTCCCACACTCTTCTGCGCTTCTTCTTCTTCTTGTTCGTTTTGTTACCACCGTTTCGCTCTCTTACTGTTGTTGTTTTTGTTCTCTTGACGCAGCAGGTTTTTTGCTGCATTTTTTTTACCTTTTTTTTCCAAAGCCACTGATAATTTTTTCATTTGAGTTTACTATGTAACTTAAAATAAAATCCCAATTTGCAAATGTTTGTTTTTTTATATTTTGCTGTGCAAGTCAAAAGTGAAAACACTCTCTTGGGGGAAAAAAATTGGTGCAGTGGTTGAGGGAGAGAGAGAAAGAGAGCTCTCTCCCTCTCGGCAAAATAGAACCAAACGCAGGGTTGCAATCCGGTGTTCCCGTGCAAAACTTGACCACACAATTATTTTTACTGGCCATAATAAAACGAAACAACACTTGGCAGTTGTCTTTGTCAATTTGTTTTTCTTTTAAAAATAAAACACGGCCAAAAATTACGAGACTGAACACACACACATACGCACTCAGGCACACACACACACACATGGAGAGAGAGAGAGAGGGGACAAGTGTCGATGTCCCTTTCCATTTTCTCTTCTAATTAGCTTACGCTGCCTGCTGACTTACACAAATCGCTTGTTTATTTACACGCACTTGGTACTGTTCTCTGGCAGTTGACGAAACAATACATTTACTTGTTTGCTGATTGCTAAAGCAGTCGTCTTGGTTTTTAAACAATTAACTAGGGAATTTTTTCGATCCGAACACAGCAAAATCTCCCAAATGCCAACTCGACTTTCGTGGCGTTGCCAGACTGGCGAGCGGACGGGACAGGCAGCCAGGGTGGCCAGACTGGGCGAGGCCTAGAGATGGGATAAAAACGATGCGGTTTATTTTGTTTATTATAATCCAATGAAAAATAGCTATATTGAACAACAAGAGGATAACATTTCCGGAACATTAATTATTATCACTTATCACTTTATTAATAAACTAAAATTAATTAATTTGTAACAAACTTTAAGCCAAATTTTTGATTGGTTATAAAAAAGGTAAATTAATTGTACTTTTATTTTTTATTTAGTGGGATAATAATATACACGAAAGGGAAGAACCTTACTTACAAAAAATATAATGGAATTTTCAATTTTTAATACATAAATTTTAATTATATGTCCATATACCTTGTTCCCTTTCATATTGTGTTTTCTTGTTTTATTAAGATACGAACCGAAATAAACTTAACTAAATGTTTTAATATCAAAATAAAATAATTAAAAGACAAATCTTATTTTATATCGTAATCTTTTTATATTATTCCTGTCCTTGAATATGTTTTTCGTCTTTTAAGGGCTTACGTTAGTTTTTTATGAATAGTTTCAATACAAAAGGTATTACTTATCAATAAAATATATAAAAGACTGGCAATGAATTTCATGAAATTCAAAATACTAAGAATTAAAAAAATGTAGTACGAAAAAATCGGGAATCCCCTTTTAACAAATATCGATACCTTCGCAGCTGCCTATCGCTGGCCATATGCGTGTGTGTCTGTTTGTGCCTATCGCCAGCTGATGCCTTAGCGCTTGCGTATTTTGTTGATATTTGCAAGCCACGCGAGACGAGAAGAGATGCTGCGCCTACTCGTGTCCAATTGCGGCAGGAGCAGCGATTTGTACAGGTAGGGTTGACCGTGCGGGGCCAGGGACTGCGATGCCCGATCCACCGCAGCCAGCAGCTGCTCGGGAAAACAAAACACCCCCCTTTGCCCTCACTCGGGTTATGTCATCAATCTATCAATGGCAAACTTATTATTAACCGCCCGTTTTTCCCACAGTCGCCACCTGCTGCAGCCCTCGCAGCAGCCACTGCCACGCCTCCAGAATGCCGCCCGCCTGATGCGACAACATCTGCGCGGCACGAGCGCCAAAGGAGCTCCACATCCGCCCACGCCCCCACTGCCACCCACAAACGCCAGCCGCCTGCTACACACGACACGCCTACTTTTGTGGGGCGGTGGAAGCCTGACCATCGGTTTGGGCGCCCGCTGCTGGTGGGCGGGGCACCGCGGAGCGTTGGTCCACTGCGAGGGAAGCCGACTGGCCGTTCGCAAGGAGCAGGAGGAGGAAAAGGCGGAGGAGCAGCACTTCGACTGGCAGCGACTGTGGGCCTACCTGGAGCCACATCTCTGGGAGCTCATCGGGGCCGTATGCGTGAGTGCTTCGTTCAGACATGGAAACCCTTAGTAGTGTCCTAAGGCAGGAGAGCAACAAGTTGATAAGAGGAGTGTCCCAAGGATCAAGGGAGCAATGTAATCTATGGACACTTTTAAGCTCTAAGATCAGTGTCTGCCAGGAGAGCAACAAACTAGGAATCCATAGGAACACTTAATCCTAGACCACAGACCATATTTCAGGCGACCCCACGGGTTTATTGTAAGCCAAGTTAGGAAACATGCATATTTGCACTATTATATGGTATAGAAGCTACTCAGAAACATTTCAAAAGTTGCAATTCCAAAGATCAATAGACAGATAGAAAGTTAATACGCCCAATAAACAGGAAGATAAGAAAAAGGGGAAGTAAATTATTAGATCTGGGGATTAAAGCAATTGTAATATACCAAATTAGGAACCTGATAAATTAAGGGCTTATTTGAATTTAATTTATTTTATAATAGGAATTAATCGGAGGCAGGCATGGGTTTCTATCTTATAAAGTACTCCTTTTTTGGTATACGTGCTTGCCTAATATAATCATATTTTCAGTCTGACCTTTGTTCTTTAGTAATCATTATTAAAAAGGGGGTATAATTATATTTTTACTTACAAAAAGCAAAGTAATCTCTAAAAAAATAGATATACCATTTATAAAACCTGATAGATTTAAGATATATTTGGTTTCTTTAACTACAGAAATGGATAGAGTTGGGATAGATTGCTATCTTGTAATTTTTTGGTATTTGTACCTATTATAATCACATTTTCAGTATGAACTATGTTCTTTTGTATTAATTTTTAGGAGGGAGATCTAAATATAGTCTTCTTTATATAAAGAAAAGTAATTTTTAAAAGAATCAATAAGTACATAGGCAACTTCGAGCATGGCAGCACTTATACAAATATTGTACTAATTTAAATCCCCTTATTCGCAGGCCGCCCTGATCGTGGCGTACATCAACATCCGCATACCCAATCTGCTCGGCGACCTGGTCAACACGCTGGCCAGATATGCCAACACATACGTGACGGATCCCATCAACAACTCGTTCGTGAAGGACGTGAGCAAACCGGCCGGAAATCTGATGAGCCTGTACATGCTGCAGTCGGGATTCACCTTCATGTACATCTACCTGTTGAGCCGCGTCGGTGAGCAGATGGCGGCCAAGATGCGGCAGGATCTGTTCACACAGATCGTCGTCCAGGACATTGCCTTCTTCGATGAGAATCGAACGGGTGAGTTGGTCAACCGACTGACCGCCGATGTGCAGGACTTCAAGACCTCGTTTAAGCAGTTCGTGGCCCAGGGATTGCGCAGCGCTGCTCAGCTGATCGGCGGCAGTATATCGCTCTTCATGATCTCCCCGCACATGGCAGCCATTGCGCTGGCCAGCGTCCCGTGTGTGGTGATGTTCATGTCATATTTGGGTAGAAAACTGCGCTCGCTAAGCAAAAGCTCACAGGCGCAGGCAGAACGAGCGACGGGAGTTTGCGAGGAGGCACTGTCGAACATCCGGACGGTTAGATCCAGTGCCTGTGAGTACCGCGAGATGCAGCTGTTCGAGGCGGAGACCAATGAGGCGGCTCGCCTGGCGCAGGAGCTCGGCTACGGCATCGCCATCTTCCAGGGCCTGACCAACTTCTTCCTCAACACACTAGTCCTATCGACGCTCTTCATGGGCGGCCATCTCATGTCCACGGAGAGCCTGTCGCCGGGTGCCCTGATGGCCTTCCTGGTGGCCTCGCAGGGTGTGCAGCGATCCCTGGCCCAGGGGTCCATCCTGCTGGGCACCATGATCAGGGGCATGACGGCCGGCAGTCGGGTCTTCGAGTTCCTCTCGCTGCAGCCGCAGGTGGAGCTGCTGCGCGGCTACATCATCCCGCAGGAGCGGCTGCACGGCGAGATTCGGTTCGAGAACGTCTCCTTTGCATATCCCATGCGGCCGGATCATGTGAGTATTTGTGGGGTTTATACGCTAGTCCTGTTTCCTTGAGGGATAACTTACATTTTAACCAAGTCTCTTAAGTAAATCAATGTGGTATTACTTAAAAGCTGGTAATTCATTTTTATGTAATATTTACCAGCTTCTTATCGCTTCCGCAAATAGATAACCAGTTTATAACGGCCACAAACGTTTATAACTAAAATGTACGACGAAGGGATAAAAAGATTACCATTAGACCAATACAAAAAAGTAATTTCCTTCCTATGCGAAAACTGCTATAGAGCCATACATATATACAGATTAAATACAACCAATTGTTAGTGTATTCTAACTAAATAGTTAATATTCAGTTTGATTATGCTTTAATTTTCTATATCCTAGAAAACCTTAATAATTTTGAAGTAAATATTACGAGGAAAACAATCTTAATAGCAAGTATTTTTCAAGTTTTGAATGATTTATACCATTATATGCTAAAACCCTTTTCTAAACAACCTCTTTTAAGGATTATATTATAAAATATATGAATAAATAGCATGTTTATACAGGAAAAGCAACTCTGCTTAGAATCAACATTCTTCCAACCAGTTTATTTTATAAAAAATCCTACTGACCCTTCCAATTTCGATTCTCCCCGCAGGTGGTGCTCAAGGACTTCAGCCTGACGCTCCGCCCGGGCCAGACGGTGGCCCTGGTGGGAGCCAGCGGATCGGGCAAGTCGACAATAGCCTCGCTGGTGGAACGCTTCTACGAGCCATCGGCGGGCAACATCAAACTGGATGGGTACAAGCTTTCGGACATCTCGCCCTATTGGCTGCGATCCAATGTCCTCGGTTTCATCGAACAGCAGCCGGTGCTTTTTGGCACCTCGATATTGGAGAATATCCGTTATGGCAAACCGGATGCGGGCGAGGAGGATGTGTATGCGGCTGCGCGACTGTCGCAATCGCATGACTTTGTGACCGCCCTGCCCGATGGATATGCGACGCATGTGGGCGAACGGGGCACTCAGTTGAGCGGTGGCCAGCGGCAACGCATCGCCATCGCCCGGGCGCTGCTGAAGAACCCGCGCATCCTCATCCTGGACGAGGCGACGAGTGCCTTGGACGCCACCAGCGAGGCGGAAGTGCAGAAGGCACTGGACACGGCGGTCAAGAATCGCACCACCCTGGTGATTGCTCATCGGTTGTCCACGATACGAAACGCAGACCTCATCGTCGTCCTTGACCAGGGACGCGTCGTGGAGGTGAGTTGGACTTTGGTTACTTATTATATCACGGATTACATGTAAAAGTAATGGTTTGCAAACCATGCTACTCTGATTTGTATCCCTATGCTTGCCAATTCCTTTATTACAATTCCAAGCACTGAAATTTAAAACGCGAATTCTTTAGATTCTATTTTAAAATTACTATTTAAGCGTGTCGTAATGCTTACATGAATAACATTCATTTAATACAATGTATATTAATAATCTTAAAACTCCCATTTCATACAAATAATGTAATGTTTTTATCTTCTATTTTGTAGACCGGCAAACATGACGAACTGATGGCCAAGCGGGGCCTGTACTTCGAGCTGGTGCGTCAGCAGGAGCGACGGGACATCCAGGAGCAAGTTCAGGCCGTGGAGGGCGTGGTGGCCGCCAAGGAGCAGCAGTCAATTGCAGCAGCGACAGTGAGCAGCGGTTCCGGCAGCAGGATGAACACTGCCCAAGGATGAAAGCGATCGTAGGCAAATTGATGATTCCCTGTACACTTAATTTATTAGAACGATTTGTTTTCACTTTTTTATTTCCAACTGACCAAAACCAAAAAAAAACTGGTGAGAGACGCTAACAATAAGTATACAATAAAATAAACGCTGAAGACAGTATTGTTTTTGTTATAAAAAGAGAGTATTTCATTGTCATTATCAAAATGTTCACCGGGCTCCATTGGAAAAGTATGGGGAGTGTTAATATTTATTTGAGATGCATGAGTTTAAATAAAGTTTATTTACTCATAAAATGTGAATATTTATAATTTGAAAAATTTCCAAAATATTTTAAAACAATGGTTTTTTTAGCAAGTACACAGGCCAGCAAAGACACACACCTCCTGACCTTTTAGAGTGACTGTTTTTGCCATACTATGTTATCGATGCTTCGAGTGCTTCGATGACATTGATCTTGTCATCGATGTTTATCCACCACTAGTATTTTATTTTGTGTGGTTTTGTTGTTGTTTTGTTTATTATGCATTTGTTTTTTATTGTTTGAGTTGGCGAGTTTGTGCGTTACATTAAATCCAGTCCATTTCGGCAGTTGTGGTTCGCAAACGCGGTTTATAATTGCATGGCGGGAATTAAAGTTAAATAGAAAAATGTGCGACAAGTCAATAGCAATACAAACGAACAATTATGTAAGTGTGTGTGTGTGTTTTAGTTTAGTTTAGTGTACAAAAGCGACAACAACATTGAACTAAAACAACAACAAACTGGTAACAATAGACGCGCATGTTGGTAAAACCAGTTGTTGTACTTGTTGTTGTTGGATCTGCTAATGTCGTTGTTGTTCCCGTTCCCCCACACAAATTTTCTAGCAGTGTATGTGTGTGCAGCACCTGTACGCGTGTTCGTGTGCGCCTCCGGGCACGTGTGTGTGTGTTGTGCTTCTGCCTTTGCACAGTGGGCAAATTGATCAGTTTTACTAGTCGCAAATATACAAATTGGCTCAGTGAATTAATTGCCTTAATTAACATAAATTGGAGAGCAAGTTATGATAGCTACAGTTGATCAAGCGGAATAAGTATATATTACGGTTAATTACTATTAAGTTTAACTATTCTGTGTGCTTAACGATAAAAAGCGTCATTCTTAAGTGGAGAATATTAAATTTTGTAATAATTGTATTGTAAAGTTGTGATCAACAGGCAAAAAAAGAACGAATTTCTTTAGTAAGAACAAAATGTAGTTCTTTAAATAATGGGTTGATTCTACAAAGTACTGTTATAATATAAAATCATGACGTATTATATATTTTTAGAAAACAGAATAAGCTTGAGTTCGTCTTTCAATCCCAATCAATTCATATATTTGTACATATAAATACGTTCTTTTAATATAGAACTGAAAATGAATAGCCAGCATTGTGTTTAACAATAAAAAATTAAGAGGATACATATGTATAAAAAAAGCCTGCGGCTTAAAAAGTAATTAGAGGGACATTAACCCTTAATGGAGAATAATTCAAATATTCAAAGAAGCTTTAAATGAGCCCACTGTGCCGGCATGCAGGTGTGAGTGCAAGCGTGTGTTTGGATGGCGCATTCGTCATTCATTGCCTAAGCTTACGCGGGCGGGAGCGGGATGGCAAGCACAACAACTACAGTTAGCTCAGCTGAAGTGCAATTGCAATTGCAAAGAGCCGCGATTGTTGTTGCATCAACTCCGTTTTCACGGTCAATGTTGAGATATATACATTTGCCCACTTTACATACTGTTCACTGTATGTACATACATACATACATATGCAATATTTCGATCATCGACTAAATCAGGCGGTCTCTGCATTCCAGTGGAAAAACTGACTCAGGATCGCAGTCTTTATCGCGGGTGATCCATTTCCTCAAGTGAACCCTATACGTATGACTATCAAGTCACTTATTTTGTTTTGTTTTGTTTTTTTATTACTTTAATTGTGAATGCTTCTGAAAATATTTACAGTAGCTACCGATTTTGGAAGAAATTGAACTATGTTTGCAGTTGTTTAAAGCACATCATTTAAGATCTCTCATCTTATAGATAAATATATAATATAGTATACAAAATATACATTCTTAAGATACGATTAGTAGATCCCTGAAAAACTACGGAGTGATTTAATATTTTTATTTTTTAAATACTACCTAATTAATTAAATGTAATTGCTTTAATATTTTTGAGTTTAAATGCGATTTTTTCCGAGATATCTTCAGATAACCTTCTTTGTCAGTAGGCTTATATCTACGCAATGCTAGAAACGGTTGGGAATTTTAACGGAAAAAATATTGTTAGTAAGAATATTAAAGAATCGATTAATTTTAAAGAATCTCCAATTGTCTAATTTTATAAAGATGGATATAAAGTTTAAAAAATATATTCCTTAGCTGTCATTTCCATATAACAATTTAGTTATCCTTAAGAAAAATAGTCAGTATAAATTGTGATATCTTCCTATTATACGGTTTTAAAAAAGGTTATTATGTATCTTATCTTTTTCTCAAGAAAATGACATTCAACTACACTGTCTAAAGAATATTAAACCCAATTTACACAGCTGTTTAAAATAGTATTGATTGTGTGATTACGAAACAAAATTTTCCTTAACAATGAAGTTAACAATTCAAATCGAAATCAAAGAAGTGCTTTGAAGCACCAATTGAATTTCCTGATATACTTATCAAATTTTCCCGTAACAATAATTGATTGATATGTAAGACATTTGTCTATTTGTAATAGTACATTCACCTATGAAAATATAGTTTTACTGCCCTGTTTACGATTATGGTTATTTTTAACGTGACTATTGGTCTATATTTACTTTATGTACTATATTTAATACCTATTCCGTCATTCGCTAATATCTATTCCAACCACTTTTTCGTTTTTTTCCACAGTGCTAACGTAATCGGGCCAAGGCACAAAAACATTCCATGCATCATCAACAGCGCCTGCGGGCAAATGGTGGACGCAGTGGATCCGGATTGGGTTCAGGATCGGGAACGGAAAAGGGAATGGGAACGGGAGGACATTCGCCCCTGTGCGCCCATTGCCGGGGTCAACTGCTGCCCCATCCGGAGGAGCCCATCGTGATGGCCTTGGGTCAGCAATGGCACTGCGATTGCTTTCGCTGCTCCGTTTGCGAGGGCCACCTGCACAACTGGTACTTCGAGCGGGAGGGACTACTGTACTGCCGGGAGGATTACTACGGCCGGTTCGGTGATGCCTGCCAGCAGTGTACGGCTGTTATTACGGGGCCCGTCATGGTCGCCGGCGAACACAAATTCCATCCAGAGTGCTTCTGCTGCACGGCATGTGGCTCCTTCATCGGCGAGGGTGAATCCTATGCGCTGGTCGAGCGATCGAAGCTCTACTGTGGCCAGTGCTATGGCAAGCGTTCATGCCAGCCGGCGGATGCCAAGGCGAGGATCACGACGGCCGGCAAGCCGATGCACTCCATCCGACTGGTCGAGATCCCCAAGGACGCCACCCCAGGCCTGAGGGTCGACGGAGTCGCCCTGGACGATGGCTGTCCCACAGTTCGGATTACAGAGTAAGAAACTCCCTGAAATTTGACCAAATCACATCATCATCCTCGCTAAAATTCATCATATATCATGATTCAATATGCCCTCTATGTTTTGTTTTTAATATTAAAGGTCCTATGACACGTTCTTTGTTTTTGACTATATCATGATATATCATTATTCAATATGCCCCCTATTGTTTGTTTTAAATATTTAAGATCCTATGACACGTACTTTATCTTTGACTATATCATGATATATCATGATTCAATATGTTTTTAATATAAAGGTCCTATGACCCGTTCTTTATTTTTGACTATATCATGATATATCATGATTCAATATGCCCTCTATGTTTTGTTCTTAATATTAAAGGTCCTATGACCCGTTCTTTATTTTTGACTATGTCATGATATATCATAATTCAATATGCCCTCTTTGTTTTTTTTTTAATATTAAAGGTCCTATGACACTTACTTTATTTTTGACTAACTGAATGTTTTTATTTTAAAAAGCTAAACCACATTTTATAAACCTATTATAAACATACGTTTCATATATTTTATAATATTTACGTTGCCATTAATTTTAAAAATAATTTCAATCAGTCATAAATTAAGAAAGTGTAATAAGGCCTTAAGAAAAGAATATTTATTGAGAAATCTTCTAAATCATGGAAATTCAGAAACGTCCTTAAGAACAAAGTCATAAAAAATGGCTCATTCAAAGAACCTTGACCAAAATAAACTTTCTACTTTGTATATTTTTAACTAGATAATAAATAAATAAATAATATTTGATAAATAGTATTCTCATAAAAAAAAAAAATGCAAAAGACAAAATATTTTTGTAACTTTAAAAATCTACATAAGATTTGTATATTTTCTAACGATCTAAGTGCATTTGCTACTTCTGTCAATGTATTTTTCAAAAGTTAACCCATAAGGAAAAAACAAAAAACTTTTTTTTTTTATAAAACTGCGTTTATAATGTTTTGGTATTTACAACAATTTGGCATTCAACACGTGTAAGTAATGCATAGTTATTTGCATTGGAAAATCAAAAATAATTAACATAGAGTATTTGCATTAAAAATGCAATTCAATTACATGCTTGGCTTTTACCCATAGTTAAGCTCTATTATAATAGCATTAAATAAACTGTCCTCTTTTTGGTATTGATTTATTTGTGACTTACTTGCGGTTTTAATATGAGTTATTGGTATATAAGGTCTTTAGCTTCAGTGAAGCACTGCTCATCCCATAATCTCCAACTAATTTTGTCCTACGCCTCTTTCTGCATTTACTTTAAAAACATGCTTAACTAAAATAAACGAAATTGGGAACAGCCTGTTCTGTAACTTCTTCTTTTGGCTGACCTCGATGGCGGAACAGTGCTGTGGGGCGCCATATAGGTAACACTCCCCTGGAAAACCAAACATCTAAGCTAGAAATCACCCAAAGAAACCACTCTAATCTCTGTTTTATATATCTTTTCCCACCAGGATCGATGTTAATCTTACGAATTTGCACATTGGCGATCGCATACTGGAGGTAAACGGCACGCCCGTTAGTGATTCTTCCGTGGAGCAGATCGATAAACTCATTC